TCGCCAGTGTGGGATCTGTAGAGGCACACATAGACTCGAGTCTGATGACCTAAGTCTATATGCACCGCTAGGAGGGAAAAGGAAGGGTCTTCTAGGCAGCGCAATCGGTGACAGCAAACATCCGCCCGGACAAACAAGCATACACCGGCTTTCGCTTTGAAGGACTCTTCAAGTGCGTAGCCGGGATAGTGAAGGTAGCTTGTATCGGCCGGGCGGAGAATTTGCGTCTCCGTCAGAAACAACATTGCAGGCCGTGCTGTCTCTAGGTGTTGGTGGACAGCATTGAGGTTGGCATGGAGTCCCCGTATATTAGAGAACTCAACCTCAAACAGCGAAGGCGTGGGGTTGTGCACCGCTGTACGACCGGAACGTGTTGCTGTGGCTGCCATAAGGATAAGGGGTGAGGAGACGTGAAGCGGGAGGGCATTGTCGCGACTGCTCCAGTCAAAAATATGGGCGCCTGTTTCCCCAGGTGTTGCCCACAGAGGAGTAGCACCGATCCGCCAGGCGGAAGGGCCCCCGTACCCCCCCGGGAGTGGCCGCCGGGACCCACGCTCCGGTCACCAACCGGAACGACGGTCCACCCCAAGATTATGCGTGGCATGATAGGGCAGCCTCACGAGCTGGTTAGGCACGCTTGGGCCCCTGTACTGTACCACGGGCGGCCAGCGGTCAGCCGTTTCTACGGGTCTCCCTGGCTGGCGGGTCGATGCAGTCCTCCTGGCACTGGTTCGACGGAGGCACCCACCGGACCGAAACAATCGCGGCAATGTCGTCCCGAGCTCTGGTTGTACGTTGGCTGATCCCGAAACGCGCTCTACGAGCGAGCACTTCACGGGTTTTTCACCATGTGTGTACGGTGGTAACTAACCAGGCGGGATTAAACCCTACCACCAGTTGCGAGCAGATCTGAGCTCGAATTCCTTTAGTCGCCTCTTACGACACCTGCAGGAAAGGAAGGGGCGGTGAGTTATGTATTCTTTCTCCGTCACCGCACGGATTAAAAAGTTCTTTGCATTAGCTTGCCTTTTTTTTCTTTACTATTCTTGAGTTGGTTTCTCTATCTTTTTTAATTTCTCGTTTAAGGTCTCGTTTTCTTCTTTCACACTTCAATTGCTTCCTGCAAATAACTTTTATTTCTATAATATATATTATAACATTGGTGAATTCGACCGACCGTTCATGAAATGTTTTTTTTTAAATATTCGTTTGTTTTATGCTTAAATTAGTTATCTTTAACAAAACATTTTGAGGTCAACAAATAAAAATTGGTAGCTTTAATAAATTATTCTTCCAAAAATCGCGTTTTGAATATTACAAACGATTGTACTTGTTCCCCTTATGGTGTACTATGATGTATGGCATGTAAGTTGTGAATAGAACCATACTTACCACTTAAATTATTAATAATTTGGCAAAATAATAAATAACACCCACCACACTCACAGTCCACTATCAAAGGACAATGTTCAAATTAGCCTATGAACCTCTAAGAATATCTTGTATATCATAATTCTTATCATATTTTATGATTAATATATCAGCTTTTAAAATCAAACAGACACTGCCTATTTTGTAATTACATTAAAAAGTAATATTAATACATTTGATTAGCTTCAATAAATGTTGCCACCATATTTTAATAAGTTGACAAATCAGGATCTATGCACAATTTGATGTATAATCGACCAATGAGCACTTAAAGCGCTTGACATTAAAACGAGACTCAAAATGTTCGTAGATTTTTAAGCGGCTGGAAGCGCTCATTTATTCTTTTACATACGTTTGACTGTTTTGAACTTTTGAAGTTTTGTTTGACAACAACAACAAACAACCGACGAGGTAGTGTATTCTCGGTTCTAGCAGTGTTATTGCACTTTTCTGTTAGTAGATTCTCGTTTGCAGCATGGAGTATAGACATGCTCCCGATACAGCAAGAATCGCCATCTATTATGTAGAACTAAAACATAACTCGCGAAATGTGGGTGCATAAATGCATCTCGGCCTATCCTTTCGCGGATACGGGCGTGGAACTACATAGTTTCACTGCCTATTTATCTATATACATACATATATATCTAGGTAAGTAGGTAGTGTAAAAAATATTAATATTCCATTGTTTTTAGGTACCCAAGATTGTAAAATATAGATAGGTTTATAGGATTACAAATAAACTACGAATTCACTAGACTCCGCTAGAAAGGGAACTGTTATAAATTATCATATATCTAGAATACACCAATATTATGCCAGCCAACTAGATTATAATCGATTTTAAAAAATATCCACCCCTATAAAGCTATGCTGCTGGCATACAGACTTTTCAAGATTAATTTCGTAAGCAATAAGATAGTGAAGTTTACTAAATGTCTGTTATGAAATCTCGATAACAACCAGTAACCACAAACCTGGAATCTAAGCTCCGAAACTGTTTTTAAATCAAGCTAAGTAAGTACCTACAGAACTTAGCTATATTTAAAGCAAAGTAGACATACATTTCCCTACAAAAAGCAAGTAAAATAAACATTAAAAAGAATCTATCCGCGCGCTAAAATTGTTAAAATTATAACCTCAAATCCAAAATATATTTTTTGATTTATACATTTCTTAGAAGTGTCCGTTACTTAAACATGTATTTAGATGTAAATACAGCTACTTTAGAACACGAAAAGTGATAGTACATGCTTAGAGGTTCTTGGGCGAAAAATGTATGGGGGCTGAACATTGTCCTTTCGTGTTTAGTAAAAAAATTTTTGTTTGTTCACAAATATTATGATGTTCATTAGGAATCTCGGACAAAGTATAAGGCAAATTTCGTTTTCTTAATAATTTTAATGCGTTAGTATTAAATTAAAATAAATAATTTTAAGGAGATAATATTCTTAATAGATACGAAAAATAATTAAAATACTACAATTTGTTGATAAAATACAGCACTTTGGGACGCGTTCTCTAAATGATTTTAATATGTTATTGAAATTTATTTATTTTCCAACCACGTAATTTGGTGTCCAAATAAGTCAAACTAATTTAAATGGTTAAGAGTGCATTAAATTGGATTTCTCACACAGGTGATTTTGAAAAAAAAGTATTTATTTTCGTTTAATGAATTCGAATTCGGGTTCGGATTATTACGAAATTGCTCAGCAGTTAGTGAATATCTTAGAAATGTCAAATTAAAAAGGGATTGCGATTGATTGTAGTATTAGAGAAAAGGTCTCTGATGTTATATCTATATACGTGTGTATGATATTATAGCTTCTATGATAAAATGATTTAATTTTCTGTTCTACATTTTGCTACTATTGAGTTTACGACCAAGCCACATACTATGCATAGTAAAGATCGAATAATAACATCAATTAACATACAAATGTGCTCATGGCACCAAACATAAGCAGTTTTAACTGTTTATATGAATAATAGTATGTATGTAAATATTGTACATATGTTTATTAGAATACAATACTAATGATGGCATTGTCTCCTTTGTTTTATGGGTATCATATAACTGGCTAGCGTAATATTTGTATTTGTGTGATCAGAAAATTGACTAGGTTAGTTGCAATTGGTCAGCAAATATTTCGAAATAAACCAGTAAGAAAATAATTTAAGGTACATCCATTTAATCAAACTCTACAATATTAACTTACATTATTAATTTAATATATTTTAATCAGACATCTGTTTTCCAAAAGAAACTAGCTCAACTTCCATTTTTACTTAACTGTCTAATTTTATCCTACAGAAATTCATTCAAAAGCAATAATTTTTGGTGAATGCATCATCTTGCTATTACCGCCCGTTTTTGTTTGAATCTAATATGAAACTTCACGAGTAAAAAAATACAACAGATAAGAATGCTTGGACTTAAAATGGTCCAGCAACTGGATAAGCGATTTGTTCTAAACTCATTATATTTCAAAATTATCTTGTTGCCAAGAAAGATATGATTTTATAATAAAAAGGTAATACCTTTATCATTATAAAATCATATTTTTTTTTCTCTATTTATAATGTATTGATCTAGTAATGACATGGTTTTGTGAATGTCGTAACTGCATTAGAGCGGGTGAGTTTCTTGCTCGTATTTTTTATCAGCCAAAAGACGTCCTGAACGTGTGGTAGGGGAAAAAATGTAGGACGATTCAAAACTAATAGACTTCGTTTGAATAAAATTATTTTAACTTTGAGGAAGAAAGCTGTAAAAGCTGTTTAATTACAATAGTTAAAAATAGATCTGTTAATGTCACTCCAGTGTGAATTTTGATTGATAAATTAAAGAAAAACAAAAAACCCGACTGCGTGCGTAAAAACGAATTTTAAAAATACATGAAATAATTAACTTAAATAAAAACTAAAAAGAAAAAAACAAGCCCAGTAGTTTAGAATTCTGTTAAGTTATACAGAACAGAACGACTCACAGTCGGGGCCCATTCAAATTTTACCAATCAAATCTTCCCAAGGAGCCCCGACTATGAGTCGTTCTGTTCTATATTATTTAACAGAATTCTAAACTATTGTGCTTGTTTCTTTCTTTTTAGTTTTTTGTTTTTCTTTAAATTATTTATTTTTATTTTATACTTTTTAGTTACATTGTCTTCGTTATAAGATGGTAAATTTCGGAGAGACGGAAAATTATCGAGAATGTTTTGTTAAACAATTTTAAATCGTTTTATATCCTAAACTACTATTTAAAATGAAAAATGATAAAAGGAACATAAAGATGATTTTAAAATACCTATTCAACGACACCCCGCTTGACATAGTTGATTACTGTCATGTCTTTAGTGACACTCACAAGATTTAAGACGAATCGATTGACGTAAGAATCATCAAAATCAGTCTACGCATTTGGTCTCTCGAACGCCACATAAAAACAAACATACATATATACATAGACTGATAGACACATTACCCTCCTTTGCGTCGCGCAGTCGGGTAAAAAGACAAAACACTACACAACACTCATAGATATTTATCTAGCGGTATATTTCCAGGTGTGCTTATTCGGAAGTTTAGCGAACGCGTTGAATGTAGCAGTACTGACTCGCAGGGACTTAGCATCGGTACCTATAAATCGTCTGCTCAAGTGGTTGGCCGTGGCTGACGTGTTCGTCATGATGGAGTACGTGCCATTCTCTATCTACAGATATCTGGTAAGTTACATTTATTCCATTTCATTATTTTTGTTCCAATCTCACTCTTGTGATTCCACGTCAACTGCTGTTCCGTCCTTTGATATACTGCTATAGAAAACTTTGGCAATATTGTAAATGAAAGGAGTTGAAATGATAACTATATTTATAATGGTATTTGTGATGTAAAGTGTATTTTATAGTATCTTATTTTTGAGCCTGAAACTTAATCAAAGTTCAAGTATTTATTCACTAATTTAGAAGCAAGTTCAAAATATGTGTCTCTATTTTATTCAACAAAATATATACCCATAGGTATAGTTATTTCTGGTGTATCTTTAACGTAAAATCGAAATAAAAGAGCTAGTTTTAAATAACTTTACTTCTAGTTATAGGAACACTGTTAGTCAAGAGTCAACACAAATAATTTTAACTGAACATACATGTTTAAGTTGTAAATTTGTATTGTTTGGTAAACTATAGTCTACGGTTGTATTAAAACTCAAACGAAACAAAAGCTACTAAATGTTTACTAGGTGTGGATAGAGCGGTCAGAAGCAAAATGCGTAAGATGGCTTTATAAAATACCTATATAATATAGCAGGGCAGTGATTCTGATTCTTTTAGTCCTTAGAGATCACTTGACAAATTTCTACCTTGCCATTGCCCACTTGGTTCAATATAAATAAATCACAACTTCATTATATCGATGTGTAAATTTGAATTTATTTCGTTGGCGTATAGTGACAAACCCTTCTTTTAGCATAATGTTTTTATTCTTTGAAATAACCGTTTTGGTAGGTATATTGTTTTTCGCACAATAATACCTTGCCATAATTGTTTTTTGATGTTAAGTTTATGTTGGAATAATTATTAATCAGGCATTTTTTAAATAATTTTAATACACATAATGTTCCTAGACGTGATAAAATCGATCAAAAAAAGTTAGAACTGTGCCAAAAACAATAAATAAACGTGCGAACGGTTCGAGCGTACCGCGTAAGTACAAATTTCGAAAATATGTGCTGCTTAACAATTATACCCACATAAGCTGATATATGCAAATATGTATATTCTTAATGAAAAATCCACTATGTCCTTGGCACTCTGAGATGGATGCCTGTGTGCCATAACGAGCGGTCTGTTTGCTTATATTGTTAGGTATCGGTTGTTGTTATTTAAAAGCAGTTATCTGAAATTTCACATACAAGTTTATTTTAGATGACAATACATCATTTAAAATCTAATATGGTGGTTTAATATGGTATGTGAACTTATTATCTATTTCAAAATATATCGCTTTTTCCTTAAAAGGTACAGAGATTGTGATAGTTACTTATGGAATTATTTAAAGATTAAATTCACAATCTTTTTCGGAGTGAATAATGATTTGGACAACAAACATAATAAACACTTAGTAAATTATAAAATTCTACCTTATTAATAATTGCCTTAGAAAATTCTACTTTTTTTTTAAACCGTCACGATCGGAATGTTTGTGACATGTGAAATACTTGTAGAGTGATGTGCGTGAATGTCTTTCATATGTGAGAGTAATATGTAAAAAATAATTTAATAACTTTATTCAAAATCCAAAATGGCGGATCAACTATGATTACGGCCAAGTTATTAAAAACTGCCTTAAGAAGGTTATCAAAAGTAAAGGTTAGCTAAAAATAAATTAATAAAAGTACAAAACTAGATTAAATTTAAAAAAAAAATCTTCGAATTAAAAACTCATCGGTTTCAACAAATAAGACTTGTAAAGAACACAATTCTCATTGAACCAGAAGGTTCGAATGCGCCGCGAATGAATATGCTATTTCGGAGTCAATTTGGCAAACCTTTGATTTATTTCTTATAGGACCTTCTTTATTACCAAATACCAAAGTCTTACCAAAACTTAATCATTATCCCGTATTTTTATTTTGTATAGGGTTTTCGAAACTACCTACTTCATATATTTGTGTAAATGCCCTAAATCATAATTTACAAAATCTTATATTGAAAATTCATTAGAAACACTTCTTTAGTAACTAATATTCAAATGAATTCTACGAAAAGTTACTAGAATAACTATTGTTGAGTGATAGCAATAAAGTCTAAATTAAAATTACTTTACTTTTTAAAGTCTACATTAATTTATTTTTAGATTACAGCAATTGAATTTGTTTGCAACGTTCTAAATATTAACGTTTAAAATCAACTGAAGAAAGACAGTTTTGAATAAGCAGACTGTCGCTCCTTTCTGCTTTCGGTTTGAAAGTGGTCCGACGTGGGTTCAAAACTAATTAAATGATCTGAATAAGTTTGAATATTATGTATTAGGATAGTAAAATATATTGAAATAATATGATATCGAAAATACCGATACTAGAGATCGTTTGTTTTCGATTATTTATTGATCACAGATTCCATTTACGTTTGCCATATAATTATAATAATTGAATAGCACTCAATTTACATTTTATGTCTTCATCAGCCTATTAATGTAAGTACCCATTGCTGGGGAACAGGCCTTAACTATTGATCGAAATTAATCGAGAGGGAATGGTCGGGCGAAGCGGGTTAGCTCGCCTTCCGAAGGACGAAAGAGCTCGAGATACTAAATTTTGGTCACCCATCCTATTAGCGGTCTAAGTGAAAGTTGCTTAACATATGCATTGCAGAGCAAATGTCATTTGTTCCATTGACAATGTATTCTAATATATATATATGTGTTGCTAAATCGATCATTCGAGAACGGCTTGATACTTAAGGAATAAACAAAATAATGCAATTATTTCAACTTCAAGGTGTCGCCATCTCTGAAGTCCTAAATTTTCGATTCCCGGGCGGATTAATGTAGAAAATGATTTTTTATATATTGACTCGAGGCTGATTGTTACCTTACGTTGTTTCAGATTTCCATAATATAAGTGCTTTAACTACTTAGTTTGGGATCTGAGCAATGTATGTGATGTCTAATATTGATTTTACACGTGTATTTGTTTGTGGTTGGCGTTGGGGTATGATACAGTATTACTGTCTTGCAGATAGAGCGTGAAAGTTGCTAAATATTGTATTTTATCTACAGCTTTTACCAGGGCAGCAGGAGTGGGCGTACTCTTGGGCGGTGTACACACTGTTCCACATGCATTTCACTCAGATCTTTCACACGGCATCCATACTCCTTACATTATCTCTCGCAGTGTGGAGATACTTGGCCATCAAGTAAGATTTTTTTTTAAGTTTTAATAGTATAATTAAAGGCGATCGATATGATCATAAGTCAACTAGGATGCTCCTTAGGTGCATAATTCAATAATAGTACAAGACCTCGTGACAAAAAATTGCAAGAGTTCTGTATCAGTACATATTTTAAATTATACATCACTCAGTATCCATTGCAAAGGTTAGCTATAATACTTGGTGGCCGTGGCACGCTAACAATTAGGTATGTAAAATAGTATCTAATATGTATTGAATGTTCTCATTATAGACAATTATTTTGACGGTATAATCGTAGAGCCGGGCGACTCAGCACGTCTCAGAAGTTGTTCCAAAAATTAGCTCTGAAGAGTTCCATGATGTTTGAAAATTTATTAAGAATTCATTTAGTGGAATAAATTCATCCAACAATAACTAGATTTTTTTTTGTACTGTTGCCACTAGACTGCACCTGACTTCCACTGACGCTTGAATGTATTGAAGTACAGTTATAAAACTTTTGCAAATTTTTGTCACGAGCTCTCAGCCTATAAGTAGCTTATTAAGTATGTACATGATAAGAATCTGAATATGCAATCGACACATTCCAATATGCGAATAAAACGTGACATCGGGCTTCTGAAGGTGAGGAAAAGAAGACAGGCTTATTTTCTACGAGTTTTCAAAGGTTCTTGTTTACGGTGTTCATGTCTAGTTTACATAGTATAGTTTTAACACCTTTTATTACCACATGATGCAATAAATGATCTATCTAGCTATCTTATTTTCAGACTAAATAAGTATACGCCATATTTACTATATGTTAGACATGAGAAATAATACAAATTCATAACTTCATTTAGGATCAGCAACTCTACCGTGTCAAGCCTATATGCCTAATAAATCCTATATGTTATAATTTCTCAATTTTGATCACAGATTATTTGAACATGATATCTTTGTACAAAATTATTGAATTTTTTATAGTATGCGCGATCTTAAGGGACGGCAGAAATGGTGACAGATAACATGAACTATTATTACAAACTCTGATTTGCCTTTAAGTTGACGGAGGAGATGAATGTTCATAATCAGATGTGTCCCTTTATTGGAACAGAGTGTTGAGCAGTGAAGCAAATAAATGAAGTTAATCACGCGTGATTGAGATGTGTAGGTAAGGGGCGGTTCTAGCTTAATTTTTAGATAGTGCAAGGTTTCATGGTGGCACATGGTGGTGTAAGGAGAGCTTACAAAAATAAAGTTAATTCTACGTGGTTATTTATCAACAATTAATAAATTATTTTCAATTCGACCGATTGTTCTTTCAGAAAAGTTATAAAAATATCAAATAATTCTTAAAAACTAAAAAAAGGTTAACAAATTCAAAAAATTTCATGTGAATTAGGGCAAGGATTTGCTGGCCATACTTTTGACCGCCGGACTTCAAATGAAGTTTCTTGAATTTGTTAACCGCATTATATATTATTTTATTGAAGACTGCAACTTAAAAAAAGCAATAATTATTACAGAAATAGAAATAACAACAAAAGAATGGTAAAGATACTTTAAGCAATAAAATTTTATCTTATTCAGTTCTTCATATACTTGTATAATTCTTCTGTATGTGTGTTTTTCATCTAACTTCTCTTAAAAAGCTGGATCGTTATGGTTAAAAGTTTGTATGTATTTGGCCTGGATATATTGAAAATAGAATTGGATTGGATTTATAATCAAAACTCCCCGGGTATATGTAAAAACAAAACTACTATTCCGGTTTCGATATATACATATGATTTGAATGAGAACCCTTCAAGAATATATCCTTTTACATAAAAGATATCTATTAATAAATTAAGATATCGTACGTGGAACATATGTACAAAAAATCTAGAATAACACTTTTCTTCATTTTGCGCTTGCGAATTTTTTTATTAAATTGGAATTATCTAATTGTTGGGCAATATCATTTTTAATGGATAAAATTTCAAGATCCGATAGTCTTTCTTGGCACATAGTCGAACGTAAGTATGTTTTACTTAGTTTCATCTACTGAAGCATTGTTCGTCTTTGGTGACTGTGACTGGGATAGACAGCAAAATCCAAAGCGCTAATATAGCATTCGGAAAAATATCCTGTCAGTCATTTGATTTAATAAGTTAGAGCTTTTAGTGGCTCTGTGATTGGAAGTTATTTAGTAATGGGTTAAGGCTACAAAGTTCTTCAACCGATTTGCAACTAGAGACGTTAATTTTAAACAGATCTTCTGGATTTGTTGGTGTTTCATCTGCAGCTTCATACTTAAATAATCGCTTTTTTTCCTGTGTGAAAGTGATGAAGAATCTAACCCAGCCTCAGAAGCTATTTCCTTAGCTGTTATTTGAATAGAGAAATAAGTCCGGTATTGTTTCACAAATTCCCAGTAGTTTTTCAGCTATTGTGATGCTTTGAGAAATCCATAGTTTCAGACTGCATACCTTCACTTACAATTATAACGGGTTCAGTGCAAGTTGTTGGTTGTAAAATGAAACGGCCGACTAGGCTTGATAAGTTGGTATATATATAGTCTAAATAAAAAACCCTTTCTTGGGTTTATCTAGAAGATACGATGCAAATTTATACATATATAATTTATAAATATAACTTGTAAATTACAGCATAGATTTTAAATTTTAAATGTACACGCTAAAAATATTTTATTAATTTTCACACCCATGATTATTCCTACCATGTTGGCATGAAGTTTGATAGAACTTCATGGTACGTACAGCCATTTTCGGCACCTCCCACGTGATGGCGCCCAGTGCAGTTGCACCATTCGCACCGCTCTAAAGCAGACGCTGTAGGTAGTTATGTTAAGATAGATACTAGTGATAAAAATGAACGCATTAAGTGGCAGTAACAAAATAATAAATATTTTTAATAATAAGGAAGCAATAGGTATTATAAATCAATATAACGATGAAAGGCGCCGTCGTGACTCCCTGAAATAATGTTGCATCAAAAATCTTGTAAAGACAAATCCAACAACACCAAATTGCCCGGTGTTACGTCATTTAACTAGAAAGTTTTCATGAACACCTTTCAGTTTCATCATTAGAACCTGGATGTTAATGAATTCTCTAACAAATAAACAATGAATTCTCTTCTTTTTATAATATTAGTATAGTTCTTAAAAAAAGTTTCATTTGTGTCTGATATTTTTTTCTTCAAGTTAATTGTAATGTAATAGTTTTCAATTTAAAGGAAATCGTTGAAAATTTTTTGTATTCATTGTGTGTGGGAGAGTACGGGAAGAGGGTCGGTGAAAGGAGGATATTAACCCTTCTTTATTCAGAATAGGTTGTTCACCTTACAAACCGGTAGGGCATTTTCTGAATTAATTTCTGGTTCATTACAAAACTTTTCCACAAACTCGTTAATTAATTCCAACTTTTTGACAGATGAATGGGATGAAAATATTTGGTCTACAAAATTAACAACCCACTTATTTATTCACTTTCAAATAGCGACCTGCAAACAATTTGTCTAAAAGGGCTTAAAATATTGATACTTATTTCCTGGCCAATCCTAAAATGTTGTTTTACAACTGATGACTAAGCTATTTATGGTATGTGTTTGCATTAGTATTGCCAATGATACAAATATTTAAAGCCGTTCAGTATCCCTGTGACACAGCTACGGCTGTCTGGCTTTCATTCCCACACGTGAGGGTACACTGTAGGACTTTTTGTAGGTATGCCTCTGTGGGACCCCAGTGAATACCTGTTGTATGGACCCATAGAAATTATATAAATGTATGCTTAAAGTATTTTCGCTACAATAAAAATGGAAGTCAGTTAGTGGTATTGTGTTAATTCAAGTTTAAAATTATCCGTATACCAAATCTTATTAAAATCTGTTGAGCAGTTCTTACGCGAATGAGTAATTCTCACATTTTCATATTACGAGTATTAGTAGGAAAGAAAAGTTAGTACACTTTGGAAGAAGTCAAGCGAATTTGAAAGCTAAACCAATTGCGATTTCCTGGACTTATTGACAATTTCCTTCTTCCCTATTAGGGATAATGTAGGCAGGAATTTCAATGTTCAATATTAGGAATTCTGTTTTCCGTATTCAGTTACATTCCTCTAAACAAATCACTTTTCAATTACGATTGGAAGATTGTTTATAGGAAATCTTATCTCAGGAAATAAAAAACAATTGCTTTATCATTCTAACAGATTTTTGAGGTGTTAGATTTTAGCTTGTAGGTGTTTTTTTTTATTTAACTAACAAAGCCATGTTCTCTGTCTGAAATCAAAATGATGACTAATATTAATAATATTTAGTTTCAATTAGTGCTAGTCAATTTGATGGATTATTTCTGGGAAAGAGTGTGTGGGAAGATTAAGGTTTTCTTATTAAATTTGTGAAACCTAGTTAATCTTTATAATTAGCATTCCAACTTAGTACTACCATTAGCGTTCGTCAATCGTTCGTCGTACTAGACTTTAGATGGCAGTTGGATTGCTTATATATATGCTATCGGATTACAGTTTAGAAACACAGCATCGGTATATGTATGTGAAAAAGAGTCACAGGTGCAGTTCTCACGCTTTTTCACAGATTTTGTACGAATAGTCTAAATAAGTATGGCGATTTCCAGAGACTCGCCACAAGAGTAATAAAAAAAGAGCATAAAAAAGAGCTTCGAATAAATAATAAAAATCATAGAAGAAGTAGGGTTTCATATAATACCAGAAATGATTGGTTTTTTTTATTAATTTCAGGCCCAGTGGTTTTTGAAATATGGGGAATAATGATCTTCAAAAATATTTATTTTAAAATTCTATAATAGTTATTTAAGATACGAGTGCAAAAACCTTTTACGCTCAAGTTTCTTACAACATTTTACAATGCTTTTTGCGAGGAAATAAAACAAATATATAGGTTAATAAAACTAAGTATGTATTCAAGGTAAAAATTATTTGTTAAAATTAAACGTGATATTTGAACGTTTTCGTGTCATACTCGAAAAACCTTTTACGCTCAAGTTTCTTACAACATTTTTCAATGCTTTTTGCGAAGAAATAAAACAAATATAAAGGTTAATAAAACTAAGTATGTATTAAAGGTAAAAAAATAAACGTGATATTTGAACATGTTTTCGTGTCATACATTTTTATTTGAAAATATTCGTTCTAGGCTCCTCGAAATACTTTTGCCTCTAAAGTTTGACATGTTTTCATAATTTTTTTTTTAAATTTCTTTGATGCTAGGTCAAAAAAATAAAAAAAATACTTTTAAGCACGTGTGCAGTAAAGGATTTCAGTACATTTTTATTTAACACGTGTTTAAAGACTCACTTTCGGTGTTTACAATGGATTAAAAAAATAGCGCTTTATGAGCAACTTCATTGAAAATAAATATCTGGCATTCTCGCAGCAGACTTTTGCTTTTCATTTACTACGTCAAACGATGTAGTTAGTAGTTGTAATTTTACTTGGCTAAACAAATTTTGCATTGCAGCCGAGGGATCGTTCACTGAAACATTTGTAATCAAAGAGGAATTGAAATCTTGCAAGCTAAACTTGACCCACTTCATGTTTGAGCTGAAATTTTGACACATATAACTTGGGTAACAATGCAATATTAATTCGCAATGGAGTTTATGTAATGATGGAACTTTCTGTAATTAAACAGTCCAATGGGGTTTGGGCTCGTTTGACTTATATCGAAAAGGACTTTGATCCGAGATGCAGGATTTGATGATGAGTCTGCAAGGTGGTTTTGATCGAGCTTCGGCTAGCGAATACTTATATAGAGAAATTGAATTGTTTGATTGAATGAATGGCTAGCTGATTAAATAATGACTTATGTCTTGCCAAAATACACACACACACATTACATTCCATTCAAATAAAGATTAATTGATGAAACAATTGCCCATTAGAAAAATGTATGTGTTTGAAGCAGCAGTACACAATGGTGCCAGCTCAGCGTCAAATATTCACGCGCATGCGTTGTGAGCAAACCAGCAATTTAAGGAATATCCTTTACAATAACACCACTTTAACAATAATTGTAATTGGCTTGCAGTTACTTAATTACAATAAAAATGAAGCATTGGTTCTCGCAATACGTTATCGTGTCTCTATTTGACTCATTTACTGAATTGCTGATTTTATTTTGTTTTCTCGTTACTTTAATTTTTTTTTCATTTACAGGTACCCGTCGTATAGTGCGTCATTATGTACGGATCGTCGTTGTTCGGCAGCCATATTTATAAGCTTCATACTGCCACCGGTGTTGTGTATACCGTCTTATTTCGTAAGTTATTCTTATCGGTATCATGAGCCTATAATGTTCTCGATGCTGGGGCGCGTAAAGCCAAATTTTATGTATGAATCAAAGCTCTTGGTGTTGAGTCGCAATGTAATATGTACCCGTTATTATTGCCTTTACGCTTTCGAGACGCACCCAATGTATCTGTATGAACCAACGCTCTAGATGTTAAGTCGCAGTATAATGCATCACCGTTAATAAATATATGTATTATGGTTTTTTGAAAGAATTACGTTATCAAAATTAAATTAGAATGACGATTATTTAAAATTTATAAAATTTTGTTTTAAATATATATTTCATATTTAAAAAGAACTATAAGCAACTAAACACAACGAAATTCTGTAAATATTATACCCAATCACTAACCATAATTTTTTTCTACTAAATGTCTAGAAAGTTGGTTCATACACAAATATTGGCTAAATTACGGCGACTTATTGAGCTCAAATATCACATGATGACATGACGTCACATCGAGTTTAAACATCACGTCAAAAAAAATTTCTAATTATTATCTATTATATAACTGACGTACTATAAATTTCTTTTTTTTTAAACCTATCATCATTCCTATTGTCAGTCACGAACCGTCACAACTCACAAATATAAATAGCATTTAAGACCTTGCATAGTTACAATCTCGTCAGGTAATTTGTTGCGTACTAACGCATACTTGTGTGAAACGCTTCATCTACCAGATTTGCACTAATATTTAAACTCAAATAATTTTATTTGTAAGATATATATTTAGTAGTTTAGTATATATATATATATAGAATAGAATAGAATATGACAGAAACATGACAAAAATAACAACAAAGAAGGAAAAAAATATACAAAATGAAGACACTGAAATAATAGTTAATGTGTCATGGTGTGTGTCGCTGGCGTCAGCTCAGTATGAGTAGTAAACGGAACTTACTGCACTGATATTTTGCAAAAGCCAGCAGTGACAGCACGGACTACTTTACGACCATAAAATAATAAATTTAAAAAATCATAACACGTAATAGACAAAACATGATAACAGCACATGTAATAAACAGTGACGGAATTCCATATCACTTTGCGTCTTAAATGAACCCCAACATTTACAGTGAATTTGTGGTGTCCTTAGGGATTTCGTAAAATCGTTAATTTCCTAGTTTGTGTGTCATAATTAATTGATTTTACACAACCATTTTTTTTCAGAAAAGATATCCTAATACAAACTTTAGAAAAGTGTCAAATAATGCTTCTCTTAACTTAGACTTTATAATACAAGAAACTGCTATTAAAGTCGGGCAGTCATCACTTAGTAAACCTACAGTAAACCTCCGCCCGCTATAATAGCAGATACTTGAGTAATGAAGTCGCTTTTTGATTGACTTCACATTCGACAGGAAGAGATAATATGGAGTTGTGTTGATGGAACTACCTTCCGGGTAAACATAATCCAATAAAAATAATAATCAAAGTTGGACTGTGTGGTAATAGTTATGCGTCTCCAAAGCAATCTACTATGTTAACATTTTGATTGACAATACATTTCCATAAAAAAGTCCACTCCTTTCTTTGAAACAGAAACAGGCTTGTGAAGATTGTCATCACCATCTATGTATTGATGTACGTGTATGTATATATATATATTATATTCGCTGTATATATGTAATTATGTGTAAGTTTATTTATATTTTTGGTATGTTTATGATTAGTTTAGTAACAAATACTAAAATACTAAGTTGTAGTTTTTTATTTTTTATTGCTCTGTACCGCTATCGCATTTGTATATTTTCCCAAAGGTTGACTGGGAGAGAATACTATTAGCATTAATTTCGCCTTTTGTAACATCTTTATATTGGTCAATAAAGTTCAATAAATAAATAAACATATGGATACATGTATTAAAAAATATGAGTATATTCGCCGACTCATCGCCAATCACTAAAAAAGATTCTCCACCTCTTTTATTTGTTGTCTGTTAAAACAATATTTTTAGTACGACACATAATGCTATTTTACGAAGGTGAATATTACGAACTATATTTGTCTGAAAAAAAATATTTGTACCTATCGATGTTTGTAATTTACCGGTGCGTAAAAATTCGTTCTTTGTCAATGTCGAAACCACAATATTGTGTCGAAACTATGTTTCAAATAATTTCTCTTGCGAAGCAATATCGCAGTGGACTTTTACGGTAATAATACTTGTTTCTTAGCTAAGTTATGTAATAAACTAAAAATAATCTCCAAATTATTATTGAAAGGTCTGGTGTTTAAGAAGCTGAGAGCGTTTTATTTTATTTTCTAAATTTTCGCACTTATAAAAATTTTCTATTTATTCTCAAAGAACTTACTTAAGAGTTTATGGTAAACTACTTTTTTTGTTTATAACTTACTTTATCATTATAATTTACAACAATAATATTTATTAAAAATATCGATCTTGCCCAATAACACCACCTTTAAATGAGCTGTTTTTTGATACGTTTAATTTTGCATCTCTTCACTTATCTCCGTTTTTAAAGCACATACATTCATTGACCCATTATTTATAATTACTTTAATGAAGCTCAGGCACTTGCAGCAATAAGATATTTGCCAATATGAAGACACTCTACACAACTCTAGCATATCTAGTGGCAAATTCAAACTCTTTGATACAAAACAATTGAGTGTAGTTTTGTTCGAATTTTAATATTTTTCATTCTTCACAGGTGTTCACCATACACAAAGTCTTCACCGTGGATAAAGATTTTAAAGACAGCACACCAGTGAAAGTATACTATGTTGACTCCGATCACAACGGTACCTTGTATCAGATCAATTTCTGGGTTCATGCAGTTCTAATAAAGTTGTTACCTTGCGTTATACTCACACTTATAAGCGCTTGGCTTATAAGAGCTTTATACAGAGCAAATAATAGGAAAAAAGCATTGAAGGGATACAGCGCTTGCCAAAATACCGCCATTGTAAATGGTAGGCGAAATATATTTACTAGAAAGTCAACTAAGAGATCAAAGGCGGAGAGACGGACAGACAGGACTACGAAGATGTTGGTAGCTGTGTTACTACTGTTTCTGATGACGGAGTTTCCTCAAGGAATATTGGGTGGGTAAATGCTATTGTAATATCGTCAGATTTGTGTGTTTGGAATTGATTTCGTGGCTTAGTTTTGTCATAATGCAATATTTTAAAAATCCTTCACGGTAAAGTAATATATATGCCAATTCATTATGAACAACGCTTTAATGTTACAAATGATCCAAAAAGGTTAGTGGCCAAGATTGGGTCTTCTTCCCTACATAGAATATCCTCACAAACTTGCTCATTCACCTTAGTGTTTTCTTTGCAGGTCTTCTGAGTGGTATTCTGGGGCGGTGTTTCTTCAAACTATGTTACAATCTGTTTGGAGAACTGATGGATGTGTTGGCTCTCCTCAATGGGGCTATCAATTTCGTACTGTATTGCTCTATGTCTAGGCAATTTCGTACCACATTTGGACTCATGATTAGGAAAAAGTGTGCTGCCACTCCAAGAGCTACTTCTCACACTGAATTACAAACGACTTATGTTTAAGTGAGATTTGAGTGCAAAGTGAATAACGATGGAAAATGCCATCAGACTTTTAAAATATAGCTGATATTTGTCTGATGATTTGTACTACATAGTCTTGCCATAAATATTGTTACATAGAAAATCAACATTTTTTGTTATTGAACGTAACATTTATTACTATTATAGTATGTTAGTTTAATACGTTAATATAAAGCCATTAAAAACATATCTAGCTTAGTTGAAGTGGTCTTCATTAGCTGTAATACAGTTCTTTAAAAGTGGAGAACAGTTGTCAATAGACGTACGCACTCGTTCCATGGGAAAACTCTTAACTGCCAATCGTATGGATTGTTTAGGGACTCTTTATTATCATGGCGTTTAAAGCAAGCATTACTTTCTAAAACTGACCATAAATCATAATCCAGCGGATTAAGATCTGGACTAGATGACGGCCAGTCCTAAGCTTTGATGAAATCCGGAACATTCGTTTCTATACAAGAAGTCGGATAATGCACGTTACACTCTGTTGAGTAATCGTGATCGTTTCATTCGTCATTTTGTTTGTTAAAATATTGCATAAAGTGACCAGTGCGTCTCTAATAGGCTCAAGTCCTAAGTCATCTTTCAAAATACAGGACATGGGTCTAGGTGCTATCTTCATCTCCCGATATAAATCTTTTGCTTTCCCACAGATTTTTTTCGAATTCTTTCCCTTACTGCTTTGATTGCCTTTTTTACACGAACACTGCGTTGATGGTCAGATCTTTTCCTATCACAAACAGAGGAGGTTTGATTGTAACTATCAATACCCCGGTAAACAAATATTTGATGAATACTAAGCGTATGGAGCCTTTTGAAAATTGTGTTTGGCTCCATACCTTTAATATAATGTAATCAGTGATGCGGATCTTTTATTACAAAATGTTTTATTATCTATTGGCACGAAAATAATAAAAGACAGTGAACAATCACATAAAAATGACAAATTCTAAATTCCAAAGAAATATTTTGTTTATTTTTAATTCTAACAGTATTTATGACTAGACTAAAAATAAAGTGTTATTATTATGTTAAAATGTAATTGTCAATTGAATAACCGACGTGGAATGTCTAATAACGAATTGAATTAACAATAATTTACAATATTAATGCTAAGATTACTTAAGAAACTGTTAAATAATAAGTACTTTTTTTTGTAAAAAAGCAAATTTATTTATGATTAGGTTAAAATTAATTTATATTGTTTAATTTAACGAAATATTAAAAAAAAATTAAAAGATGTCCTTTTTTATTTTCTGATATTAATGTTTGGTTTAAAAAAATATATCTTGTTTTACTATTTATAATTATTAATTTATCTCTGTTATACTATGAACCATTTGTTTATATTTTTTATATGCTTTGAATAAGTTGGTAGGTAATATTTCAATAGGTAGGTGGCTTTTATTAGTTATGCAGTTACAATTATAATCTATTGATATATAATTACATTGAATGACATACTTTAACTTAAACTGGGTTTTAATAAAACTATTAATGGTTAGAAAAAACGATATGAAATGAAATGAAATGAAATGAAATGAAATGAAATGAAATGAAATGAAATGAAATGAAATGAAATGAAATGAAATGAAATGAAAATGAAATGAAATGAAATGAAGAAATGAAATGAAATGAAATGAAATGAAATGAAATGAAATGAAATGAAATGAAATGAAATGAAATGAAAATGAATGAAATGAAATGAAATGAAATGAAATGAAATGAAATGAAATGAAATGAAATGAAATGAAATGAAATGAAATGAAATGAAATGAAATGAAATGAAATGAAATGAAATGAAATGAAATGAAATGAAATGAAATGAAATGAAATGAAATGAAATGAAATGAAATGAAATGAAATGAAATGAAATGAAATGAATGAAATGAAATGAAATGAAATGAAATGAAATGAAATGAATGAAATGAAATGAAATGAAATGAAATGAAATGAAATGAAATGAAATGAAATGAAATGAAATGAAATGAAATGAAATGAATGAAATGAAATGAAGAATGAAATGAAATGAAATGAAATAAATGAAATGAAATGAAATGAAATGAAATGAAATGAAATGAAATGAAATGAAATGAAATGAAATGAAATGAAATGAAATGAAATGAAATGAAATGAAATGAAATGAAATGAAATGAAATGAAATGAAATGAAATGAAATGAAATGAAATGAAATGAAATGAAATGAAATGAATGAAATGAAATGAAATGAAATGAAATGAAATGAATGAAATGAAATGAAATGAAATGAAATGAAATGAAATGAAATGAAATGAAATGAAATGAAATGAAATGAAATGAAATGAAATGAAATGAAATGAAATGAAATGAAATGAAATGAAATGAATGAAATGAAATGAAATGAAATGAAATGAAATGAAATGAAATGAAATGAAATGAAATGAATGAAATGAAATGAAATGAAATGAAATGAAATGAAATGAAATGAAATGAAATGAAATGAAATGAAATGAAATGAAATGAAATGAAATGAAATGAAATGAAATGAAATGAAATGAAATGAAATGAAATGAAATGAAATGAAATGAATGAAATGAAATGAAATGAAATGAAATGAAATGAAATGAAATGAATGAAATGAAATGAAATGAAATGAAATGAAATGAAATGAAATGAAATGAAATGAAATGAAATGAATGATAATGAAATGAAATGAAATGAAAATGAAATGAAATGAAATGAAATGAAATGAAATGAATGAAATGAAATGAAATGAAATGAAATGAAATGAAATGAAATGAAATGAAATGAAATGAAATGAAATGAAATGAATGAAATTGAAATGAAATGAAATGAAATGAAATGAAATGAAATGAAATGAAATGAATGAAATGAAATGAAATTGAAATGAAATGAATTGAAATGAAATGAAATGAAATGAAATGAAAATGAAATGAAATGAAATGAAATGAAATGAAATGAAATGAAATGAAATGAAATGAATGAAATGAAATGAAATGAAATGAAATGAAATGAATGAAATGAAATGAAATGAAATGAAATGAATGAAATGAAATGAAATGAATGAAATGAATGAAATGAAATGAAATGAAATGAAATGAAATGAAATGAATTGAAATGAAATTGAAATGAAATGAAATGAAATGAATGAAATATCTTTATTCAAGTAGGCTATTACAAGCACTTTTGAATCGTCCAAAAAACTTTTTTCCCCTACCACTTGTTCAGGACGTCTTTTAGCTGACAAGAAGAACAAGCGAAAGAAACTTATCAGCTTTTTATCATAAGTAATGACATTTACATAAATCATGTCATTACCAAAATAATATGTATTATCAATTTATCACAATAGTAAATACAACTTTCAAAGTCTGTAGGACATAAGTTGAACATATAATTAGTCTTTATAGAACAAAGCGAAGGCTATTAATTCCATGCATTGCGATCCTTAAAATAATCATCAACTTTATAATAGCCTTTACTCACAAGTATATTCTTACATGAATTTGAAATTTATTTATGGGTAAGTCAATTACATTTTGTGGAACTTTATTGAACATAGCAATACATTTACCCAGAAATGATCCTCTGGTTTTTTTGAAGTCTGAAGCTTGGAACGGCAAGTTTATCTTTATTTCTTGTGTTAAGATTATGAACACTACTTTTTTTGTGAAGGAATCGTAATGTTTTCTTGTATACATAATATTCTCATAGATGTATTGAGAGGCAACAGTCAGAATATTTATTTCTTTAAATATTTCTCTTAGAGATTCCCTAGACCGTAAATTATATATAGCACGGACAGCTCTCTTTTGTAAAATAAAAAAATCCTGAATGCTAGCCGCAGACCCCATAACAATATACCATACGTCATTACACTATGAAAATAACTAAAATATACCAATCTTGCCGTTTCAACATTTGTCAAGAGTCTAATTTTCTTAACAGCAAAAGCTGCAGAACTCAGTCTACTTGACAAGCTATCAATATGAGGATCCCATTGCAGTCGGGAATCTAGTGTAATACCAAGGAACTTTGTCGATTCTACTAACTCAACTTTTTCACTATTTACATTTATAAGTGTACTGACATGCCTCACATTAGGTAATGATAACAATAAAGTACAATAAATAAAATATGTGTGAAAAATTGTCTAATATTGTCTTTATTTAATTAAAATAATTAGTTACCTAGGTATGTATTCCCGAACTCAAGGTTGGCTTGGCCCAAGCGTGCGCGTAAGGTGCAAAATATGTTTAACATAGGTACAACATTTTAAGTAAGGTGTAGAGTTTGTGAAGTTAGGTCGCGTATAGTAAGAAGCTTAGCTCAACATAAGATTTGATAACTTTTTGACATTTGCCTTCGTTTTGGCTTAGTGGAACCCTACCAAAATATTTTCATATATTTTGGTAGGGTGCCACTTCTTTTTGTTAGTTGCAACAGTAAGAGAAAGTGAAATAAGTTTGTATGGGCAAACCTATACAAAGTATATGATATCCTAGAATTTTATTTATCTGCTATAATCGTAACCCAGGTTATGAGGGTTAAAAATGGCAAAGAGCTTGTAGAAATAGTAGGTAGTGCTTTTGTGTTTCGCATGGTTCGTCTTGGCGGAGGCCTAAATGATAAAATGGTTGAAATATATATGTAAGTAAACCACAGTCACCGCGATTTATAAGTAAGGGAAAATGTTTTCTGTAATCATTTATGAGAAGAATAGTACACATAAAACCCTCAAACTCTAGGTAGCAGGTACACTAGAAATACAATTCGTATTGGTTTGAATTACATGTCAAAAAATTGTGACTAATCAGTGACTTCTATACTATGAACTTTCATTTCACTTATCCTACTTTAATAGAATTCGAGACATTTTTGGTGTGTCTGTTGACGATTACAAACAATCGGGTAGGCATTTGAAGCTGATAATACAAAAAACAATTGTCACTGAAATTGTTCTTCTCGTGATCTCGTGAGAAGTATTTCTTTTAGTTTAATTAAAGAATAAAGTTGCGATGTTTTTTAACTGACTTCAAAAAAGGAAGAGGTTATCGATTTGACTGTATTTTTTTTCTGTTTATAATTTAATAACTTAACTGGGTGGAACGATTTTGATGATTATTTCTTTATTTGATAGCTAGTGGTTGCTGTGTGCTCCCATTTTATTGGTCCAGATATGGCAATGGCATCTATAAGAAAACCATATAAGTGTTAAATTTGCATTTAGTATGCGTTATGTTGTTACCTCAAAACTCAAAATATCATTGAAATGCCTGAAATAAAAACGTTTTATTATAAAATTAGAACCGACTTCAAATTTATAAAAGAAAAAAATATCTTAAAATCCATTAATTTTTGTTACAAAACATTGAAGTCGCTCGGTTAATATTTTATTAATTACAGAAAACCTCAGCTCGACTTCAATGTTTCTTTAAAAATTTAACCGCTTTTAAGATAAGTATTTTTTTTTACTTTATTATGCTGCAAAAAGATTCGAATGTATTTTTAGTAATGTGGTGAGTTAAATATCAACGGGTAAAGAAATTTTAATAATCTCAGTCTTAATTATTAGAACTATAAATCACAGATTATGTATTATTCTCGAAAATAGTTATAAATCAGTCAAAATTACATATTATAAAGGTAAATTTCTTTTTAATGTAAGAGTTTTCTTCGACGAGTTTTGCGGTCTTCCGTTAACTGATTTTTTTTTCTACTCTCAACCTTAGGGGTTCGGAATCATCTTCCCAACGGGGAAGAAGGCGGTGAATCCTGCATTGGCACTTAGCCGGCTTGAAGGTAATGTTAGGCTCCTACTGACTAAACACCGCCTTGGACAGTTGGTTGCGTGCCCTGAAGAGGTAACGAAATTTCAACCGCAGCGACCGCCTCGCAAGGGGTAGGGGGCCGCAGACGTCACATTTTACTTACATGAAATGTGACATCGAGATGGGAATTCTGAAGGGGCTCGGCTTCTGGGGCTGAAAATATAGCTGACCCCTGAAGGGGAACGATCAGCCAGATCGGATGAGACAATAGAACTGATGAAGTTAGGAGTATTTATACAAACAGTTCGGATTGGACGCAAACGATAAACACAAAGTTTTACCGATACTAGCTTCAGTAATTGAGGGCCTATAGTTGAACGTTTAACTTTATTGGTCCGCATTAAACTGAAATCAATTATACTTTGATAATATCTCAACTATTTGCATTAGAA